TATAGCTCAGTAGCACAGGGCCTTGCTTGGCAAGTGCAAGTTCCTGAGTTTGATTACTGGTTCAAAAAACAAAAAAAAAAACAAAAATAAAAACAAAACAGAAGTCAACCCATTACCAATACTAGCAGGCTGTGGGGAAAAAAGGAAAACTTCTCCACTGTTGGTGGGAGTGTATTCTGGTACAACAACTGTGGAAATCAGTGTGGAGATTTCTCCAAAAATTAGAACTTTGATTCCATTTGATCCAGCTATTCCTCTTTTTTGGCATCTTCCCAAAAGAATTAAAAGCATCATACTACAGCAATATATGCACAGTTTGTAATAGCTAAACCTTGAAAACAACCCAAATGTTCATCTATTGATGAATAGATAAATAAGGTATGGGTTTTTTTTTTATACAATGGAGTATTACTCTGGCATAAAGAAGAATTAACTTGAGATATTTCTAGCTAAATGGATGCACTTTGAGGTAATTCTCTTAAGTAAAATAAATCAAACACACGTGTGACTATCACATTGTTTCTCTGTTGTGAGAAACTAAAAGTGTAAATAAAGACCAAAACGTATAACAGATATTGTGAAATAGGAAGAAAATGTTCAAAGGGGAAGGGGAACTAGTGAGGTAGAGGGGGAAAGGAAGGAAGGGAAAGGAAAAAAAGATGAGAAAAGAAGAAAAAATGGCAACAAAGCTTTTTTAAATAAGGAGGGGAAGAGGTATTGAAGGGAGGGTAAGGGAATGTGAAAAAAAGAATCAGATTATATCATATACAAGTACAAATTCCTTATAATGAATGTTACCTTATGTACACATAAAATATACCAATAAACAATTAAGTTTTTAAAAAAAGAAACACTGCTGGTAAAGACCAGGCTCAGGAGGTTTCTGCCAGAAAGAAGGACTGCCTTGGCTTTTGGACTCCAGACAATGTGTGTTATACATTGGCAGAAAGTTTGTCTGTATTTTGCTTGTGTCCAGAGACTTTGCCTGAGACTAATATTAAGGGTGGTGGAGCAATTAATCTGGCAGAAGAAATTTCAAGACAGCTGAATGTTGAGGCCATGGCATGGCTGCTGTTGGGAGCTTTTAGTGAGATCTGAGTTGAGAATCAAGAGCAAAGGTGCTAGCAGAATGATTTAAAATGTTGTGAGTTTAGCCAGAAAGGAAGCTCCAGTAAAGCTCTGAACTGTAAAGATAGAGCAGAGGAGATCTTGATTGCTGAGTAGTAACAGGAGTGTAGAAAAATGGC